AGGAGAAAACCAATAAAACCAATGGTTTTTACCTCCACCAAGCCACTGCAGAAGTAGTTGGCACTTCTCAATACACATTACAAATACAGATGTGTAACTGCATGGTTGGTAGAAAATGCATGGATATGGTGCCTTAATTATGTCAATATTCACTGTCCCAGTGAGAGGCACAGTGAATGTGAAAAGAGAAGACAATGGTGGAAAATAGTTGGCAGCCTACCAAGAAAAAACCCATCCTATTACAACATCCAGTTTTGCTTTGGTTTAAATGAATTAGCACAAAACAAGTAAAATGCTAAGTCAAGGTCACCAAATGTATTTATTTACTCAATTTATAAAGACACCCATGTCACTTTTAAATGACTCTAGGTGGCTAAAAATAAAACAAATAAAAACACAAAGTGCATAATATAAAACAAAAATAAGAACAGTTATCAGCAGAGCTTCATCTAAAACAAATGCAGAAATTATTATAGATTTGTTACTGGTGTTGTACATTTATTTATTTATTTATTTATTTATTTATTTATTTAGTGTATGGCATGTCATATGTGGACTTGCAACATATATTAAGATTACTCCTAGATTAAAAAAAAACAAAATGAGATATGAATGTCAAAACAGATCTATATTCAGATGCCAACGTTTAGCCCATCTAACCATTGAAACGCAGTATCAGTTATATGAAAAAAAATCAAATACTGATCCAGTATATGCCCTTGGCTTATAGATGGTCACGGGGTGGTACAAAATGGGAGGCAGATAGAGGAGCCCTACATGACGTTCAGTTTTTCTACACATTCCAGAATTCTCTTTTTAAATAGTATTATTTTCAGTTGAAGAAAATTGCTGGACATGACAAAACTCAGGTGAACAATAAGAACTCTATATACTACCAGAACTCTGGATTGTCTTGACTTTTAACTGGGCAAACAATCATACAGCAACATTTTTTGAATCTAGGTACCTCAAATGGGATAGCATACAGAATGTATGCAAAATCCAGGACCCATGACTCCTGAAGGAATAAAGTTTGGGAAAGCTGTGGTTGCTTCACTGCTCTACTGGCAACTGCTGAACTGCTGCTGAGGTCATGTGATCTTCATTTTCAACATTCTATGACAGTTCTCCAGTCTCACAATCTTTCAGTTCCTCCCCAACCTAACAGCAGCCACTTACCAAGCTGGCAGGAATAGCCAACACTCCAGAAGACAGGCTTAAGATACAGAAGTATCTTGACAGATTTAAACATTTGGACTATCTAACACAGGAGTGTCAAACTCAATTTCATTGAGGGCCGCATCAGCATTGCGGTTGCCCTCAGGGCATGTGTGGCCTACTGGATGGGTGTGGACAGAGTGGGTGTGGCCTATTGGGTGGGCATGGCCAGCTCTACATTGTTCGGGTCAAGGGTGCCTGTGGGGGCCTGGGCAGGAGTGGGAGAGATCTGAGGGTCTCTGGCAGAAGGGGGGTGGGACCAGGGCAAGTGCCAAGGCATGGTCCATTGGAGGAGTCTCACTGCCTGCTGAAATCCCTTCCCCGGAGCCCATCAAGCCGGATAAATGAAGTAGGCAAGGGGCATTTGCTGACCACTTCCAGATGATGATGCATTTCTTCATTCCTCACAAAGGGTGACACCTCCCCAGCATGCACCCAGGGGGTGGGGCTAACACGGCAGGGGCTGGTTCCTTGCTGTTTCCAGATGGCCTTGTGAAGCTAAGACTGAATGCGTTTCAGCATAGATGGCCACCACAAAATTGTACTTGGCTCCCGGACGGCCTGGGCCAGGGCCAAGGTAGTGGGGGCCGTTTCCTCACTGTTTCCAGGATGGCTTCGCGGGCCACATAAAACCACTTTGCGGGCCGCATCCGCCCCCCGGGCCTTGTGTTTGACATGTCTGATTTAACAAAATGAAATTCAATGGTGAAAAAAAGTAAGGTTTTACATTTTAGACACGAAAAACCAAATGTACAGGTATAGTATTGGTTGTACCTGGATCAATAGTAGTAACTGTGAAAGAGATTGTCCTAGTGGACAATCACTTAAATATGAGCCAGCAGTGTAGTCCAACTGCCAAAAAAGCCAACGCAGTCCTAGACTGCATTATCAGAGGGATAGAATCAAGATCCTGTTAAGTGTTAATGTCACTTTATAATGCCTTGGTAAAACCCACACTTGGAATACTGCATCCGACATTGGTTGCCACAATGTAAAACATATGTTGAGATTGTAGAAAGAGTGCAGAGAAGAGCAAAAAAGGTTATTAGGGGACTGGAGGCTAAAACATATAAAGAACAGCTGCTGGAATTGGATATGTCTAATTTAATGAAAAGAAGAATTAGGGGTGACATGATAGCAGTGTTCCAATATCTAAGGGGTTGCCACAAAGAAGAGGGAGTCAAGCTATTCTCCAAAGCAGCTGAAGACATGACAAGAAGCTAATCAAGGAGAGAACCAACCTAGAACTAAGTAAAAAAAAAACCTGACAGTTAGAACAATTAATCAGTGGAACAACTTGCCTCCAGAAGTTGTGAATGCTCCAACATTGGAAGTTTTTAAGAAGAGACTGGACAACCATTTGTCTGAAATAGTATAGGGTTTCCTGCCTGAGCAGGGTGTCAGCGCTGTGACACAGGGATTGGGCTAAGGTTCAAGGTCCCTTCCAACTATGTTATTCTGTTCTGTTATTTTGTTACCTGATGGGATGAGAAGGGAAAGGGAGGAAGGGAAGAAGGAAGGGAGGAAAGAAGGAAAGAAGGAAAGAAGGAAGGAAGGAAGGAAGGAAGGAAGGAATATTTCTGAAACTTTTGCGCAACAGGGCATGGGTTGTCTAGTACATCATAAAATAACTGTGGCCTACTGTATGTTAGATTTTTGTCACATATATCTTTCTTTCTTTCTTTCTTTCTTTCTTCTTTCTTTTTCTTTCTGAAGGGTCAGAGTGCGGAAGAATAAATTGCCTGGATTTACCAACAATCAAATAAATTACAGTTGGGAATTTTACAGCAACCAAAGGGAATTTAGCATATAATTTTCACAAATTGTGATGTGATTTGAGTACTGAACTCTATTAACCTCTTTTGAAAAACATGACCTGTTTTTTTTTAACCACAAACTTTGATTATATCTAAAGCAATTTTTACTATGCCTTAAAACTTGTTTTTATTGAAAAAGCAAGTCTTATAATATGTTTTCAATAAGATCTGGTATTTACTTCTAGCTTTTCCTATTGAGATTACTTTTCCAATTCACTGTGCTTATCCCACTACTGTATAGCATATGGGAATAAATTTTATAAAATTATATTGAATAATGGAATAAATTTATCATAATAAGTTCCAATTTCCCATGTGAAATATAGAATATAAGAGCGTAAGATTTTAATCATGATATGCTTATTTTGAAATGTATTTCTCAGTTGCATTTTTGTCACAATAAATTTGAGAAAGTAAAGGCTTGATCACATTCAGTTGAAACAAAAACATAAGGATTTAAGCAAACCAATTTTGCAAAAAAATAAAAATAATAAGCATTAAATGATGCAACTGCTTTCCAGGTACACAGAGGACATAAATCATGGTGTAATTTTATTTTTTTTATTTTGGGTGTTGTTGGACTAAAAGTGTTATGATTCTTGTCATAGGTCAATTATTCAAAATAATATGATCAAAAAATTCATAGCATAGCAGGACTGGTGAACCAGAATGTTGGTGAGAGAATTATTTTTGGAAAAAAATGGGGTAATAAGCTCAGATCTTTTTAGCACTGTTTATATGTGATTCTCTGATCCTGAGAACAAAGTCTGATGTTTCAAAACACTGCAGAACAGATGGATATTTCTGTGATTTCAAACAGGCAATTATTAAAACAAGATTCTATTAAACGGAAGATTAAAGGTAATAGAGAGGCTCTTTCTTAACATATTTACTGATAAATAAAGAGTACAATATCATACATCGACTTGCAATATATATTAATATTTCACCGGGATTAATAAAACACAATAAAATATAAATGTTAAAATATCTATATTGAAATACTAATGTCTAGGCCATCTAACCATCACAGCATCATTTATATGAAAATAAATCAGATACTGGACTGCTATGTGCCCACAGTATATCTATCTTGATTCCAGGAATCTGTATTGTATCTCTTTGCTTATTACAATAATCCTACATAATTAGTTTCTTCAAGAATCTTTCAGAAAAAGTGAGAATAATCTGACCAGCAGTTTTTCTATGGTATTCAAATCTGCATTCTTACTAAGTTCAATACTCTTGAAGTTATTTAACCTAAGTTTATGAGAGCTATTCTTGCACGTGCAAAATGTATAGAGAATACATTTTACATTAGGAGATGGGCTACAGCTTAGTTTTCACTCATAAACTTTTCATTAAAATTGTTTTTTTTTTTCATCATCAGTCTGGTTCTCTTAGTCCTTAGAAATCAATCTCTTAATCCTTAGAAATCAATCTGATTTAAGAAAGCTATTGACAAAATCATTGATTGGGCTTTTCTATGGAGAATTTCTGCTCATTAAGCTCTGAAAGTTTCAGAAGTGGATTCAAATAATGGATCTGGGACATACACCTTTAGTCTCATCTGAGCCTAGTATCTCTTCCTATAAATTAGGGCAGGGTCCCCTGCCCCCAATCTGTGGACCTCTACTGGTCTGTGGCCTGTTGGCAACTGGGCCACGCAAGCGGCAGGCAAGCTTGGGAAGCTCCACTTGTGCAAGCAGCATGCACATGCACAAAACCCTCCCCTCCCCCCCGCTGACACTTCTGGTCTGGGGATCCAGAAAGGTTGAAGACCACTGATTCCTCCAAAAGGGTTTGTGTGGGCCTCCTATTTGTCATCTGTTATAATATGAAATTTTACAGGGCTTTTACTTTAGTCTGGCTGAATGCCCTGCCTTTTGCCATCTTCCTCGGATGTGCAAAGGATACTCCAGGTACAGAACACAACTACTATTTATTGCTCCTCTTATCTGACAGGACCCCAGTTTTGTGCCTCTATATACATTATTTGCTTTACTTGTAGTTGAGGATTCTGATTGTCATTTGCTTATTTGTATTTCAAGTAAGTTTTTTCTTGAAATTGTTATACTTTTATCTCTGTACTTTTATCTTATATATATTTCATTCTATTTCTTGAAGTAAAGATGAGTATATTTATTCTTAATGTTTATATTTATCCTTATTTCTTGTAAATTTATATATACAGATAGTCCTTGACTTACCACTATTCATTTAGTCATCATTCAGAATTACAACAGTACTGAAAAAAGTGATTTACGACCATTTTTCACACCTATGACTGTGGCAATATCCCCATGGTCACATGATCAAAATTCAGACACTTGGCAACTGGCATGTATTTAGGATAGTTGCAGTGTCCTGGGATCATGTGATCACCTTTTTGCGAACTTCTGACAAGTCAATGGGGAAGTCAGATTTACTTAACAACTGTGTTACTAACTTAACAATTGTAGTGATTGGCAATTATGGCAAGAAAAGTTGTAAAATGGGGGAAAAACACTTAACAACTATCTTCTTAGCAACATAAATTTGGGGGTCAATTGTGGCTCTATGTCAAAAACTACCTGTTCATGTATTTATATTTACTTACTGTTTAGTTTTTCTATCACTTTTTTGTGGCCTCATGGCCATAATAAAGTTATTTGATTTTGACCTTGCCAAGATTGTTTGGTAATGGAAAATAAGTAATATAATCTGTAATTTATAATAGTCTAATTTGTCAATGGATTAGTAATTTTGGTGATAATCACTGAAACTTTCCAAAAAAGCAGTATAGCAAAAGCCCCAATGCTCTCATGTATAAGCAAACAGACTTATTTTTCAGATCAAATCTATTGTAACAAGAATATTAAACCAGTATTTGACTTTAGCATACAATGTGGAAGTGATACTTCCCATGTTATTATAGTACAAGAAAATTTTATAATCAGACAAATTTTGATTCTCAGAAAAAAGTAGATTAAGATGATACAGCTAAAGTTGAGGATATGATTGATTCAATTTGATCTGGAAGATCTGCTATAATTTGGGGCCATTCCAACTGCTACTCTCTATGGCTGTTTAAACAATGTATCATAGCTTTTTAGTTTACTTATCAGTACTTGTGGGTAACAACATGTTAAAATGACAAGGTCCAGTAGTAGTAGGTGTTTGTGAATATTTCAAAATTAACTAAACTTAAAACAATAAAAAATCTATGAAACATGCATTTGTGGGAGATTTTTTTATAAGAAATGCAGAATAGGATTAGAAGTCTAGGTTGAAGGCAGCATTGATATTGTAAGACATTACACTTAACACATGGCATATGATGATCCAGTTTCAAATAGTAGTATTTGGCTTGTATGTGTGTTTATTATATTAATTTTTAATACCTTCCCATGCTGCTCTTCTGTCCACTAAAATATATAATAACAATAGAAGATATATTTGGCAAAATATAAATTAAATGCTATTTCAATTAAACAATTTGAATGTTGTTTAGAGTTAATAATTAAAAAATAAAACATAAAAAAGAAGTATAATAATAGTATATAATATAATAGCCTCATAAGACGTCCATAGGTGCAATCAAGCTAACATTGAAGGGAGTCTATATAGACAGCAGACGTCAGGAAGAATTGTAACTTCTTGAACTGGAATAACCTAAAGCTATATAATAATAAACTATACTACATCACATATTTTGATATGTTCAGATTCTGAATAAGAATATAGACAGCAGACGTCAGGAAGAATTGTAACTTCTTGAACTGGAATAATCAAAAGCTATATAATAATAAACTATACTACATCACATATTTTGATATGTTCAGATTCTGAATAAGACAAAGGAGATGTAGATAGCATGTGATCTTGCCATCATGGATGTTGAACCAATTTTTACTTTACTACTAATTTATTTTACCTTACTACCAATTTTGAAACCAGTTGTTGCTAAAACATCAGCTCTGAAATATTGTTTCATGTTAATATATGCTATTAATGATCATAATTTATTGCAGTACATCCACTTTGGTATAGTTTTGTAACTTTTGTTAGGGCTCAGGATGGTAAGTTGTAAGCAGTAAGGTTGGCAAAAGGACCCAAAGTCCATTGTCTAGTAAAAAAACAGGAAGAACTGGCTCAGAAGTGAAACTTCCATGACTTTATACCAAAGCCATTATACCATATTTGATTGTTCTCTTCTGCAATAACAGTATCTGCCTCTTTTCTTGTCTGCAATAATACAGCTTATCTAACTTGGTTGGGTTTGGGAAGCTTCTATTGTTGCTGAATGAGAGACTGAGTTCTTGAAAGTCAATATTTTTTGCTATGTTTTTGAAATCGGATGACTTCCCAAATTTATCACATATTGCAATATAGTTTTTTTAAGTATGTTTTTAAAAAATAAAATACAGTGAGTTTTTATAAATTAGAAGGAATATTTTTCTAATATAATGGATATGTAGGTGTAGATATCAATTGGCATAAAATAAATTGGTATTCATTAGAAATATACAACATAATAAATTATACTCTGTAGTAATTGAAGATTAACTTTTTTGCATTGCCAACTCCTATAATGCAAAATTAAATTAAACAAAGGTGAAATATTTTTAATCTTGTCTTTACATGGAATTCAACATTTACTGAGAACTATTTCAACAACTGGATATACAATTCCAATGATTCTTGGGTCACAAAATAATGCACATTTTTTGGATTTATTTTAATTGACATGATTTTTTAGCTTAAAAGCAGGGCTTTTCTTGTCATAGAACACCCAGAGCGGAGTTCCGGCACCTTTTTTGGATGGACCCTTATAGGGTAGGCAAGGCGGGTTGTATGACGTGTGTGAGTTCTGGCACCTTTTTTTTTTTTACAAAAAAAACACTGCTTAAAAGTAACTACATCAGTGGGATTCAGCCGGTTCGCAACATTTCGGCAGAACCAGAAGCTAAATTTTTGTTGCCCAGGCCCAGAATGGACTTCCGGAAGTGGCATCCACACAAAAAACCGGTTGTTCACATATTTGAATCCCACCACTGAATTGCATCCATATAACAACACAAAAACAACAGCAATAATAACTATACTACAAAACAAAATAAATCATTAATATTTTTAAAAGGTAGAAAAAGCAATACCAGTTCCTAATTAGTAATAAAATATGTAGTAAAATAAAAGGCAAAAGAAAATAATTATAATAAAACACAGTTTGACTGGCACTGAAAAAGCAACCAGCTAAGCGCTTTAGATTCATACAAGTTTGTGTTAGTAACAAATCTTAAGAAGCCTAAAAGTTTCTGCAGTCATCTATGGCTCATCTCCATCTTTCGATTTACAAATTACATTTCATTCATCTCAGGTTCTCAGAAAATTCAGATTTCATTAATGCTTTCTACAAACTTGGGATTTATTTTAATGTACTTATATATGAAATTTATATGGCTGCCCATCATAAGAAATGTCTCTGGGTGACAAATCATATATTTTTAAAAAAATAAAAAAAATTAACAGAACACAAAAAGCTAAAGTATCTCACACTTTATTTACTTATTTGTTTATTTATATAGAGAGAGATTTATAAGATGATTCGATTCAAACAATGTGACTCTGGGTGGCATATAACATAAGCATACAATAATGATAATAGCAATTACTATAACAGTAATAGGCTCATAGCACATCATGTTTAACTCTATTTGAAAAGAAGAAAGTATAGATAAGTGATGTGGCAATACCAGGGGATAGTAGAATAGAAAACAAAGAATTAGAGATCACAAAGTATCAAGATCTGAAAATTGAAATTGGAAGATTATGGCATAAAGTGGTCATGGTGGTCCCAATGATTATCAACACACTGCCTGCCATAGCAAGAAATCTTGAATGATACCTAGAAAATCTGTGCATTGATACAGATTCTGTCAGTCAATTACAAAATGCCACTCAGCTTAGATCTGTACATATACTACTATGAAACATTATAATATACTAATATTAATGAATATTAACACCAACACCAGCTAAAGAGTTGGCAGCTATGATTTCAGAAATGCCCTGAAATTGTGAAGGAGGACCTAATGTTCTGTACTGAAAAAAATACAGTAATGATAAGGAAATGTCATGACTGTTCTTGAAAAGATTAAACTTCTCAAATATGTATGGTCTCCCATCAGCATTTCTCTCATTAATTGGATAGTTCCAAATGAAAATATAGCTTTCTAGACTGAGCAGAAACTGTTTAATATTTTGCAGAATACAACTTCTTAAAACTCATTTGTCTTCCCCCCCCCTCCTTTTTCAGCAGATGGATGTACTGACTGGTCAGTGGATTACAAAAAGTATCAAGTCTTAGTGGGCGAACCTGTTCGTATAAAATGTGCATTGTTTTACGGATATATAAGAGCAAATTATACCATCGCACAAAGTGCTGGACTCAGTTTAATGTGGTACAAGAGTTCTGGACCTGGAGATTTTGAGGAACCTATCGCTTTTGATGGAAATAGAATGAGCAAAGAGGAAGATGCTATTTGGTTTCGTCCAACACTGGCACAAGACAGTGGGCTTTATGCATGTGTCATAAGGTATATTTTAACCTTTTTCATCAGCAAGAAGTATATAAACAGTATTTATTTATTATTTATTCTTCTGTCTAAATCATTTTGCTGCCTAAATTATTTTGATTGCAAACAGTTTTTAAATAGAAACTATCTTTATGACGTTTATGTTTAATGGAAAAAATAGTTTACAAATGTATTTGGTTTGTATTCAACTACATTTATATTCTAGGAAGCATTCCCTAATGAGTTGTTTTGATTATCCTGTCTTTGAAATTCTTCTTGTTAACAGAAGTGTGCATTGGTATGTTGCATACTGTATCTCTTAGCTGGTAGGGTATGGTTCATAGTAAAATGGTTTTCAAAGTAGTTTATATATTAAAAATCCTAGTTTGCATAGCATAGATGAACTTCCCTATAACAAAACTGGACTTCTGTTGTGATTATGCTTATGACTCTGGCCTGAAAAGGTCAAAATTGATCAGTTGTGTTCTTAGTATTAACATACAATTCTTCATAAGTCATTGGTGTGATTAAGGCTAACCTAGTCTATTCATTTTCTATCTTATAAAAAGCTTTATGTGAAAGCTTTCATTTATGAAATCCATGATGAATGATGGAAGTCAGTATTTACAGTCTCATCTTGTCACAACCATAGCAGTTGGAAGACTTCAGCTTGCAATCTAAGAGTAAATGGTAAAGAACATGAATAAATGAAATGAAAGAGGAGAAAAAATATGTGTTGTGTGTCTGTGACTCTAAAAGAAAGACAAAGGTTGTACCAGATTTGAATAAGGAGTCTTGGATCTTGTGGAATGAGTTGATGAAAACATGAAGTTAAGTGTAGTCTCTACAAAAGGAGAGACTAAAATGTATATTTAAATATGAATTGGTGCCATCTATGCTGTTGTGGGTGTGTATAAAAGTATGAATAGATATGTTGGTGACAGTTGTATGTGAAGAGTTAATATGAACAGTGATAATGGAAGAACTGAGAATGATTTTATGCAAAATGTATTGCTGGGCAAAATATGTTCTCTAATAAATTGCACAAATAGATCTTTTGAAGTGAAGCGAGAATGTTCAGAAACTTGAGAGTTAACCTTTAATACATATGCATATATTCCCAAACTAATATATCATTTTTTCTAGTTTCTGCTTTTGAAATACATATTCATCTACTTCAGCTTATTCTCTAACACAAAAATTATTCATACTGAGATATACTTTTCTCCCTGTGGAGAAAACGGACACCATCTGGGCTCCCTCTTAGATTTTGAAAATTATCAGAGAACACAGAATTAATTTAGAGAGAGGTTAAATGATGCACATAAAAATGCAGGAAAAGTCTTGCAGAGAAAATGCACAGTTTATTGCTAAATGGGTTGAAACATTTTGCTTATTGCTCTTTGCAGAAAGACCATAAAAATCTGTGATAGCTCTTCATTGACACATATTGTAGATAAGATGCAGTTACCTCCATATTGCAGGATCCACAACAAGTTAAAGACCTAGAAGTATAACTGGAAATAAGGTATACCCATTATTTAAATTGTCTGGTTTCATAACCACAATAAAATACAAACAGAAATAAAATCATATTATGCTGTATCTCTCGAATATTTAGCTTTTGGTACTAATAATTTTTAAAATGTTTTTTTCTCACTTTAAGCATCAGGCCTCACTTTTGCCTCATTATGCACCTTATTATCCATGGAATAAATATTTATTTTGTATTTACTTTTAGATAGAAATACAACACATGAACATAATCTAAATGTAAATAATCGCTTAGGTTTGTACCTATATCCTAAGATATTAGGAGACAGAGATAGCTAACATTTATAGGGAATTTATCTGCAGTATATCTGTGATTTTAGTTTGTTGAAAATGCTGTATAGTTTCAATCATTTATTCAGCACTATGTTTAGAGATATACTGAGCATTTTTAATCATTACACACTATGAAAGGCCTCCTCTAGGCTCCTTTTCACATGTAAATTGTACTTCCAAACTGTGAAATATGTGTGAGGTAACAGATTATCAATTGTTTCAATGCAGGATATAATTAAGAAAATTAACATATTGAGCAAGCTATATTTATTAACAAGTAGCAGAAAAATATTACACACAGGACTCTTTGCAAGCTTAACCATCCTCATTTTCCAAATCTAAGCTGGCAGCCAAGTTTTTTTTGTTCAATTAATACATTATGAAATCGCAAATGGTTAAAATCTAATGGTCTTGTCCAGTGGTAGAATTCAAATAATTTAACAATCAATTTTCTGCCCTAATGATGGTTTTAAGTATAAAAAACCATATACTGAAAGGTAGTTTATTATTTTATTTATTTATTTATTTTATTTATTTAATTTTTATCCCGCCCTTCTCCTTACGGACTCAGGGCGGCTAACAGCCTTGTAAAACAGATACAACGATAAAAATACCCAATTTAAAACCTAATTAAAATGAAATATTTGCTGTGGCCTATGTCAATTAAAATTA